GATTCGAACCCGCCACCTTAGGTGTATGTGGCTGGCGCCTTAGCCGCTTGAGCCACAGGCGCCGAGCCTGAAGGTTTAATTTTTGACTCACGTTTAGTTCTTTTCAGTTTATCTAGTACTGAATATTCAATTATTTTCCTTTTGCTGACTTAAAATGGTTTAAAACATGTATAAAATATAAAAAGTATATATTCTATGACATAGCATTTCTACTTTTAGGAATTGTTTCTAGGGAAAACACTTAGACAAAGTGGATATGGTGATGATGAAGAAGAATGCTGCCTTGTTGAATATCATGAACTTTTCTCTCTAAGCCAGTTACCTTATTTCCTGTTCGATCTTTCTTTCAGTCATCCTGGCTTGAAATATTATAGTTAATTATTGCAACTGAACAAACAATTATTCAGTACCTTCCATGTTTTAAGGATTAGGTTCCGGTGATGAATGGCTTTTCTCCTATTTTCCTTTCACCTCTGCTTAGATGCCAACTTTTTTTTCAGTATGCACTCTCACTATTCCCTCTCATGCACTCTCTCTTCTATTTTAAAATTGTCTTCTAAATTGTTTACCTACTTTCTGTGTGCCTTCTCTCACTACTTCCTCCTACCATCCCCCCCCCAACCCATCCATCACATTACTGTCAGACTGATTCCCATTCTGTGATGGTTTCACAACCAGCTCCTACTCAGAAGCCATCAGAGGTTCCTCCTAGTCCATAGGATGAAGTATAACTCCATACACAGTTTGGCACTTGAGACTCTTCACAGTCTGTCTGAAATCTCTCTTGAGCTCATCTTGGCTAGCTGCTCCCCTCTATGAATCCTTGCATGGAGCCCGTTACTTTATTCATTAATTCCAGAAAAGCTCCTCTACAGTCCTGGTCCTTCCTCCAGACCCTTGCTCATGCCATTCCTTCACCTGAAATGTCTGCCTGTCTTCTAAGGCTTATCTCAGCATTTACTACCATTCAGGGAAACTTCTCTGGCCTCTCCATCCCTCCATGATCATTCTTCTACCCTGTACTTCTTTGTCACACTTTCCTTACCCTTTGTTTAGGACTGAGCCTATTCTTTTATTATTACAGGTTTTTTTTGGTTTTTCTATATGGAGTCTCTTTGAAAGAGTCAAGCAAAGCAGTAATACTGTGCTCCTGTCTCTTTCGCAGTAGGGTCCTGGGATACAGATCGACTCTCAGTGTTTCTATTGACAAAGTCTGCTGGCTTTATCCACACTTTAAACAGCACATCTGCTATTACTATGGCTGATGTGACTTGATAAAGTAGGACGTATGTTTGATGGAAAGATTAGATATACCCAGACATTAGTGATTTAATTAAATCTGTCCACTGACTGCCCATTGCTATAAATTAGATTTCTTCTGTATAATATCAACTAAATTCAAATTGACTTTGAGTTCTTGGTAGAGTGTCTATGTGCTACATTTCATTTGTTCATTTAGGTCCAAACAATTGCTTATTAAATGGAAGATTTTATAAAATGCATCTCTTCAACTGTTCTCCATTTTTCTTCTTTCAGGTCTTATTACAATGGCTATACTTAGAACATGAGCAAGTATTTCAGCTGTCTTCTGAAGGAAATTTATCTTGAAAATATGAATGTGGACTGCCTTTAATCTCTTTCACTCCATTAACATGCTACAAACTATTAAATGATTTCAAATGATTGCAAATGTGTAATATATTTTAAATTACTCTATAATTTTATTTGAAGGACTCCAGCACATTGTGTTACAGACAGCAAGGATGCTTCTGAGTGATAACTAGGAAATTATTTGAAGAAATTCTTTTTATATCTATATCTGTCCTATGAAAGACTTTAATTAAAGCATTTGTTATTTTCTCATCGTTTTCCAATTTACTTTGATTATTAAGGGTCATGTGTTCTTCAAAGTTAAAGGCCTAAAAGAACAAACTGACCAGCCTAAGAATAAAATTACATTTATTTCCTACCTAAGAACATCAATGTTACTATGTAAATTATACCTTGTCCTCTATCATTATAAACAGTTGCCATGGTGTTTCTAAAATAAGAGTTTTATAGTTAATGTGTAGAGGATTAAAAAAAGGTACTAAGGGATCATGCTTATCCTAGGATCTCACAGAAGACAAGACATATTTCATTCATGTTGTGAACTACAGAATGGGTTGTGGTCCAGACACCAAGCATAGGGGTTTTTTAAAAAACCTAATAGAAGTAGAGTGGCCTATTTGGTCTAAGAGTTCTAAAGGAAGGTAGGCATTTGTCGAGTTAGTTGGTTTACCCTGGCTTTACCTCTGGTTGATGCTTTATGTTAATAGGGGGAAAATCCCTTTATCTTTTCTCCCAAGCTCCTTGCCTGCCTGACTGTAAGTGACTTGCCCAGACTGGGATTACCAGATACCAGGTGATTTATGTAGAGATGATTTTTCACCTTTAAACTGTAAGCCAAGTATAGGAAACCCTTGATAGCTGTGTCTATTTTATATCAGTCACTAAGACATTTTTTAAGTTTTTATTTATTATTAAAACTTTGCCAAAAATGTCCCCTAAGCACAACTATTTACATTTCTTTATAGCCTCTTCTGATCTCTAACATATATATGCAGTTTTAACTGTTATTGTCATAGTAACTGATCTTTTGTCTTAGGATTTTTATCTAAAAGCACAATGCATTATTAAGAGTCTCTTGAAAATAATTCAGATCTTTTTTACAGAAATGAACTTATGCACTGCTACTGTAGTGTTCTCAAGGAATATATGTAAACATAAATGTATGCCTGGGGTTGGTTTTTGCAGGAAACAATACTCTGCTTCTAAAAACTTGTGTTGAGTCTTTCATAGGAAATACTCATTGTTTAACCACTGGGGGAGCATAAATCATTAAATGGATCATGTATGTACATTGTGTAATGACTGAAAAGCACATAAATGTGATCTTTCAATTTGTGAATTACGTTTGGAGGCTCTCTTTGTTTCTCTATCCATCTCAAGTCCTTGGTGTGTGTGCACATGTGTGTAAGTACACACACATATGTATGTGTTTGATACACATTGTAAAGAACAGAAATTACTTTAAAAAATAAAAGAAAATGGAGACCTGGGTTTCACACTGATTTCAACTTTTTTTGGTTACCTCTGAGGAGCTCAAAGTTTTAGCTCTATTTCCTCAAGTTGTCTCATATTCCTGTACTCAAGTAGGAAAAAAAAAATAACACAGTGAAATACATCAGCTAGATATGTCTTTTTTTTTTTGAGACAGAGCCTCAAGCTGTCCCCCTGGGTAGAGTGCCATGGTATTACAGCTCACAGCAACCTCCAACTCCTGGGCTCAAGCGAGTCTCCTGCCTCAGCCTCCCAAGTAGCTGGGACCACAGGCGCCCACCACAACGCCCGGCTATTTTTTGGTTGCAGCCATCATTGTTGTTTGGCGGGTCCGGGCTGGGGATTCAAACCCGCCACCTTAGGTGTAGGTGGCTGGCGCCTTAGCCAGTTGAGCTATAGGCGCCAAGCCTAGATATGTCTTCTTAATTTACCAAGAAGGTTAATTCACTTTTTAAATTTAACTTTTTGAATAGATAACAAGTATATGCTTCAAAAATCAAAAACGGTAAAAAGGTATACAGTGAAAAATCACTCCTCACCATCCCTGTCCACTTAGCCCCTTCCAAGTGACCACTTTTATTAGTTTAAATGTACTTCTACTGTTTCTTTATGCAAAGACACAAACAAGGTGAGTATCTCTTATCCGAAATGCTTGGGGCCAGAAGTGTTTCAAATTTTCAGCTTTGCGTAATGAAATATCTTGGGGATGGGAACACAAAGTTCATTTCTGCTTCAGACCTTATACACATAGCCTGAAGGTAATAGTTTTTCCCTTGAGAACACTGAGTAAACTTGTGCACCTGCCTTTTGACTGCAACCTATTACATGAGGTCAGATTTGGAATTTCCACTTGCAGTAGCATGTTGGTGCTCTAAAAGTTTCAGATTTGGGCTTTTGGGATAGGGGTGCTCAAGCTGTACTTTTTAATTTTGAGACAGTCTCACTGTTGCCAGGCTACAGTGCCATGGCATCAGCCTAGGTCACAGCAACGTCAGACTCATGGGCTCAAGCAATCCTCTTGCCTCAGCCTCACGAGTAGCTGGGACTACAGGTGCCTGCCACAATGCCCAGCTAATTGTCTTCCTCTTGCTCAGGCTGGTCTCCAACTCCTGAGCTCAAGAGATTCTTCCACCTCAGCTTCCCAGAGTGCTGGGATTACAGGTGTGAGCCACCCACTGTACCCACCCAACTTATTTGTGTATATATGAGTTTTGTGAGTAGTCAGAGGCCTGGGACTTGAGCTGGCTCTGGAAGGGTGACTTTGATTCACATAGGGAGGAGTTGTGTTCAAAGCAAAAGGCAAGGATGAGTGAGTGTGCCGCAAGGTGAGGAGAGTTCATTTCACAACAATATGTAGGGAGGTATTTGAGACAGTGAAGAGTATGCCATTGTTTCCTGCCTACTGTGAAGAAAACTACTACGATTCAAAAGGATGAACACTGCCTCTCAAAGAAGCTAGCCAAAGGGCCACAGGTTTTACAAAATTTAATCAGGGAAGAAGTAAAGAAGTAGTTGTCATCATGAAAACAAATATGATTCATCCTGAAGGCAGCTAGCAAACAGGAAACACACAGCAAGAGACATGGCAATAGCTGTAATTATCTGTCACTGCAGGTGTTTCTGCTACCTTAAAATCATTAGGCCAGCACAGTTCTGTCACCCGAATTTCCTTCAAACGGAGTTGTATAAAGTCAGCATGTAAAGTTTCAGGTTTCTAGAAGGGATTCTGGAAACAAATATTTCCTAGGTATTCACTGAACAAAAAAGTGGAAAGACTACAGCAGCTGCTGAGGAGATACCTACAGGGTTTCCACATGCACACAGAAATAGACGGCTAAGGTTTCAAAACTGTTATTGTGAAAGAGCTTTAAGATTGCACGTGGCACCTAAAGTCCTGACATTTAGAGAAAGCATGCCTAAAAGGAACAATTTAAACCTAAAGGAAGTTGGGAGTGGGGGAAACTGGGGTCATATAGCTACATCATAAGATTCGAATGGAGGGACCTAGGGAGCCTTGATCTGTCATCTCAGCACCAGAATGTCAAGTTGGTGATTATTTCATTAGGAAAATATTTGCTACACCTATAATCTTGAAGTGATAAACAACATACCAGAGCAGAACATTAGTCTCCAGGATTAAATACCAAACACAATAACACAGGGTTGAGCCAGCTACTGGGCATTAAGATGAAGTCTTGTCCAGTTGCCACACCAAAGACCCTTAAAGTAAGCCAGAGATGGGAAAAGGAGGAATAAATTAGGACACTGGTTCACAAAGGCTTTATATGACCAAAGAACAGAAATGCAGATGGACTAAACTCAAATTGGCTGATTCCTTTATTCTGTTCACTTAGTTTGTCTGTGATTTGCCCATCACTTGGTTAATCAAAAGATGTTCAAATTAAAGTGACACCTACCTTGAGCTATGTCAGTTTCAGCACCTTATAAAAACTGAGCCCAATTCAAGGAGGATGATGGTGGGGAATGTGCAGCTCACTAAGTGCATTTTCCAACTAGCTGGGTAATTGTTTTGTGAACCCCTGACATAATGAACACGTAACCTAGGTAGTTCAGAATGTGATCCACAGAGGTGGGGAAAGTGAAAATAAGAATGAAATTATGTCATGAGGATGTAGACAGATTTTTAGCTCACCAAGGTAGAGGAAAACCTTGCAAAATCTGTCTTGACAAAATGAAGTGTGAGCTGTGCTAATGTTAAGTATGCTAACCCGTGGGATGGAAAGCAGAATGCAAATGTGGTAAATGTGCACCACGTGTGTGCATGTGCACACATGCTACGCTGTAAAGTACTTTTGCACAACCATAAGTCATGGGAGACAAGATCAGGAATGGATTTATTTGGAGAATCTAAATAGAAGTACTCACTCTCCTAATGAACATGTTTTCAGAGCTTATCACTGTACTAGGTTACCTGTATCTTCTGTTCTCAGGTGGTTAGGAAACAGGTGTTTTCTGTTTGTGGTTTCTGTTCAATAGACTTTATTTCTGAGAGCAGTTTTAAATTCACAGTAAAATTGTGTAGAAGGTACAACGAGTTCCCATGTATTTATTCTCTTTAACCCAGTCCCACGGATAGTGTCTCCCACTATCAACATCCCACACCGGAGTGGTACATCTGTTACACTCAGTGAACTCACACTGACACATCATTATCACCCAAAGTCTAGTTTACATTAGGTTTCACTCTTGGCCTGGTACATTCTATCGGGGTGGAAAAATGTAGGATGACTTGTATCCACCATGACAGTGTCATACAGAGTAATTCCACTGCCCTAAAAATCCTCTGTTGGGGTTTTCTTTTTTAACTTAAACATTGTATTATGGAAAACTTTAAACATTGATAAAATGTTTAAAGTCAAGAGAACAGTACAATAAACTCCTCCTATGTATCTATCATCTGCCTTCAGAAATTACTAACCATGGCCAATTGTGAGGAGATGAATTTTGTAAAGGCCATGGGAACATAGTTACTGGCAGACTGGCATTACTTTTGTGGAAAAGGGCTTTCTTCTCATTTTTAAATGAGTGATTAAATTGTTCTGGGGTGACAGGGTATTTTTTTTTTTTTT